GGGCTTCCTCCCAGGGCCAGGCTGGAGCCCATCCCGGGTCCCCCTCCTGGTTGAGCGGGCCTCCGAGGGCCCCGCTGAGTTGCAGGGACTGGGGTGGGGCGGCTCTGTTCCCGGCCGCAGGAACTATTTCTGGCCGCCCTTTCCCTGGGGGTTCACATCCGCTAGACTCTCCCGGAAAGAGGGGCCCCTCCCCACGGATGGCCGTGTGCGGCCGCGGGGGCTGGATCTGTGTCCGCAGTCAGCGTCCCCCAAGGCCTGGGACCTCCGAGCAGGCCCGGGGGCACGTCTCCGAGCGTGGGGCTCCCACTCCGTCCACGCCTCTGTTCTTCCAGGCTGCGGCACTGCTGCTGGTGGGGGAGGGAGCAGGGGCAGGTTGGCGCCAAGGCCCGGGGTGGGGTGCTGGGAGGAGGCTGAGGCTCCTGGTAGGATCGCACTGTCCAGAAATGTCCTCTGCCCTGCCCCTCCCTGGCTCAGACCAAAATACTGGCCGCTCCCCTGGCCGCTGCTGGGAGTGACTTGTGCCTCCTCTGGAAGCCGGCGCCTGGGGCAGCCAGCCGCCCGGAGCTGGGGCAGCCCTCTGATCTGTCGCTGCCCTTCTAGTGGGACCTTCTGGGGAACTGTCCACCTGTCTTACGGGCGCCATTCCTGCCAGCCAGGTGAGTGCTGGGTGGGGCGGTGTGAGTCTGGCTGTGGGAGTTGCTGTGTCTGGAAAAGTGGCCCCAGGCACCGCCGTCTGTCCCACAGCCCTCCCTGCGCCCCCAGTGTAGCCACTGCCCTGCAGAGCAGGCTGCCGTTCCTGGCCGGGGTGCCTCTGAGGACAGCCTGTGGCTACTCTTCTCACTGGGGTTGTGTGCCTGTCTGTCCGCTTTCCCGTAATGAGGAAACCCGAGGTCTGTGTGTGGTGGTGGTGGGGCGGTCTGCCTGCTCTGCCTGCCTGGACCCTCCACAGTGCCCACTCTTTTTTTTTTTTTTTAAATCCTCCCCCGAGGACATTTTCCCCAATGATTTCTAGAGAGTGGAAGGGAGGGAAGAGGGAGGGAGAGAGAGAAGCATGGATGTGAGACCAACACATCGATTGGTTGCCTCTGGCACATGCCCCTACTGAGCTGGGGAACCCACAACAGAGGTACTGCCCTTGACTGGGAATCAAACCCGAGACCCTTTGGTCCATGGGCTGACGGTCTAACCACTGAGCACCGGCCAGGGCCACAGTGCCCACTCTTTCTGGAGGAAGGAAGGAAGGTCTGGCCTTTAACAGAAGCCTGAGGGGCTTTCCCGAGGCCACATGGCTAGTAAGGGTAGGCCAGTCTGTCTCTGAGTGGCCTCCTCCCCTCTGGCAGCTGTAGGTAGGGCCCAGCCAGCCTGTGACATGGGGCCTGGGGAATGCTGGGGTGGGGGGTGGGCGGGGCCTGCATGAGCTCACCACAAGGTGCCCGCCCGCCCGGGGCTTCCTACCCTGGCTGCCAGTGGGGGTGAGTCAGCCGCTGGTGGCTGGGGGTCCTCTGTGCCCCCTGTGCCCGGGGGTCTGGTCAGGGAAGCCAGGCCCTCCCGCCCTCTAGGGCTGGGGGCAGCAGGCATCTGCCCTGGTTGTAATGGGGTCCCCTGACCCGCCCTCCTGCGAAGTGTCCTGGTTCCCATGGACACTCTCCGAGGCAGGGCTCTTGCCCAGGGTCAGTGGTTGCTTGGGCAGCGGCATCCCTCCCTTTGTCCCCTCTGGTGTCTGGCTGTCCTCCCAGTCAGTCCCGCTGGTGAGGGCTCTCTGACCCCCCTGCCTCCCAGCACCAGGATGGGCGAGTTCAGCGAGAAGAAGGCCACGTGCGGCACCGTCTGCCTCAAGTACCTGCTGTTCACCTTCAACTGCTGCTTCTGGGTGAGGCCCGGCACTGCCTCCCCTGACCCTTCGGGGAGGTTTTGGCACCTCGGGGCCTCCCTCTGCCCGTGCTTAGTTGGAGGGGCTGGTTTGGGCTGGTCCTCGAAAGGAGTCCTGGTCTTGGGCTCACGTGGGGACCGACCGGTGTGCCCACAGCTGGCTGGTCTGGCCGTCATGGCCGTGGGCATCTGGACGCTGGCCCTGAAGAGTGACTACATCAGCCTGCTGGCCTCGAACACCTACCTGGCCACAGCCTACATCCTGGTGGTGGCTGGCGTTGTTGTCATGGTGACCGGTCTCCTGGGCTGCTGTGCCACCTTCAAGGAGCGGCGGAATCTGCTGCGCCCGGTCAGCAGGACGCCGCTGGCACTGGGGGCGGGGGTCCCTGGGTGGGGGCCCCCCCTGGCTGTCTGGGGAAGAAGGGACTGGGGGGGGTCGAGTGTGACACTGCAGATCGCCTCTGCTGTGTTCGCCGGGGGGTGTCCCTCCCACCTGCCCAGCCCTCCTGTGAGCCCCCAGTGGGGGACGACACCCGCTCTGAGGGGAGCCCTCACTCTGTGACCACTGGGAGCTGAGGGCGGCGACTCGTGGATGGGGGTGGCTGTGCCCCTGCTCACTGCGTGCGCCCTTCCCTGCCCAGTACTTCATCCTGCTCCTCATCATCTTCCTGCTGGAGATTGTTGCCGGCATCCTAGCCTACGTCTACTACCAGCAGGTGAGGGGCCCGGACAGGCCACATGGGGATGCACACACACAGGGACACGCACACGCACACACAGACCCCCGAGCTCCAGAGCTGACCATTGTGCGTCAGGCCCTGGAGGTGAGGGCTGGGTCGCAGGGGGTAGGGTACACTGCAGGGGCTCGTGGGGGAAAGCAGGTGCTCCTAGGATCTGGAGCTCCCTCCCTGCCCCGGCCCCGCCCCAGGCTCCTCTGGGGGACTCTCCCAGCCCACCTGACCCCCACCTCAGCCAGCACCTGAGCCTGGCCCCTCCTCCCCGCCCCCCAGTCCTCCACACACCTCTCCGCGTCTGCCCCCCTCGGAGGGTCTTAGTGGGTGGCTGAAGTTATCACCACCTTGCCCCCAGCTGAACGCGGAGCTCAAGGAGAACCTGAAGGACACCATGACCAAGCGGTACCACCAGCCAGGCCACGAGGGCGTGACCAGTGCCGTGGACAAGCTGCAGCAGGAGGTTGGTGGGTGGGTCGGGGGGCCTCTCTGGAACCTCGAGGGACTGGAGGGAGCCCTCAGGGTGGGTGGGGCGGGCGCTCAGCCCTGCGGCCTTCTCCCTGCAGTTCCACTGCTGTGGCAGCAACAACTCCCAGGACTGGCAGGACAGCGAGTGGATCCGCTCTGGGGAGGCCGGTGGCCGCCTGGTCCCTGACAGCTGCTGCAAGACCGTGGTGGCCCACTGTGGTCAGCGGGTCCACGCCTCCAACATCTACAAGGTGGAGGTAGGTGGGCGGGGCCTGGGCTCCGGGTGAGGGATGCTGGGTGTGGGGGACCTGCCCGCCTTCAGCGCCCACCCCCACCTGCCCCCTCAGGGCGGCTGCATCACCAAGCTGGAGACCTTCATCCAGGAGCACCTGAGGATCATCGGGGCCGTGGGCCTTGGCATCGCCTGTGTG